GAATGGCCCCATACTCGGCACAAACACTGCCAACACGCAGCCTCTGATCAGCTGGAGCAGCATTCTGAGCACACTTTGAGTCAAATAAAGCATCAGAAACAGAGAGCAAAACAAAAGCTGAAGCTGTGAGGAAACCATATGAGTCTGATCTCAAAGTTTTGTATGTATGCAAAGTATTGTTCCAGGGTCGGGGGTCGGAGTGTGTGGTGAATTCTGATCTTAGTACACAATTATACCCACATGCCGTCGAGTTGAAACACCCACACAGCAAATCTCTCTCAGAGTTATTGCTTTTTCTGAATATTGCTTAGGAGCTGGATGTAATGCCTTAGCAGTTCAAAGGCTCAGTTATGAATATGTCTGCGATGCAATTATGGAGAGCAATAACATGGAAGTAGGTGTAACTGTATGAGGGGGAAATGTCTTTGAAATACAGAGCAGTCTGGACGATATACCAGCTTTGATGAAATGCTCCCTTCTAGTGTTCAGCTCACAACATTGCAACTGTTTTCAATACACTACTTTGTATGGAAATGGTTTCCACCTCAAATGTACTCAATTTAAAACATTACATGTACTGAATTACATGAAAAAGCGGATAATAACTTAAATCCCTATATTTTCATGACTCACATGCAACATCAGTATTGGAAGCGGTGGCGGTTCTGTTAAGTTTTCAAGGCGTTTTTGTGAATCATAGCCCACAAGAAAATAAAAACATAAAATAACTTGATTGGTGTTTGTTGTACCATCAGAAGTTGTGTCAATGACTTAGTTGCAATTTTATAAAATTACATTATTGGAAGAAAAATAAATAAAAATGTTGTCGCTTAAGTGCTGAAACACAATCACAAATTGTATTGTCACGTTTTCTTCTGGAGGGGGGCCGCAGGGGGGTCCAACAACAGTGTTACAGTAGAACTGGCCCTACCCCTGCATAGTTTTAAAAAAAGCATTGAGTTACTTTTATCATGAGCACAGCTTGCATTTTTTATATAATGTTTTTTTAATGTACCTTTATTTACCTACTACGACCCCAATAGGCAGTTGTATTTCCCCACCTTTTCCTCCACTGACTTAGGTCTTGGGATAATAATGTAAAAGGTTTTTTTTTCCTGCTCCTTTTCAGGTTCATATTTGTATTTTGTGTCTCTACATGTCTGCATGCTTTAATGTTCAAAAAGCTCTTTATTTTTCTCATACTGCCTATGCTGCAGCAAATATTTTCACCCTCTGTCTGAAACCAGAGCCCAGTCTGCTCTGATTGGTTAGCTGGCCGGCTCTGTTGTGATTGGTCAACCACTTAGAGATGTGTCGGAAAACTCCCAACTTTGACACAGAGTTGGGCCTATTACATACAATGTGTTGGAGCGCTAACCAATAGAAAAGCAAGTGTTACATAGTGATGTCACTGTCTTACGGAAGTAAACAAAGGAGTCCAATGGAGGCATTTCAGGCAGGGGGGGAGTGTGTGGGAGAGAAACTCCCTCTGGAGGGAACACAGGGATTTTAGCCTTTGCAGAACATTTACATGCACAACATCCTATATAACAACACAGGAGAGGGAAAGCTCCCCAAACATAGGGCCCCTTTAAGCTAATTTTCCATTACATGCGTGCAGTTCACTTTTTATCCAGTGGATGGCGAGCTTAGACAAGATCAGTTGAACAAAAACACTATAGTATGTGCTGACATGAAAATAAATAATGTGTGTCAAACTGACATACTCAAGGCTTATATACAGTATTGTTGTAATTTGAATACTACAATAGCAAGAGGAAAAACATCCCATTTGCACAGTTCGACAAACGCATGGAGGCAACATCATGTCTTTAAATCATCTGCCACTCAATAGGTCAACACACACGAGTGCAGTCATGCACATATTCACACATACAATTCGCAGACCGCACAGTCTTTTTTATTATGGTGGTCTTGGTCTTGGAATGACCTTCAATCAAACCTAAAACTGAGGGCAATTGTCCCTATAGCATGTTTTAAATTGAAGTTGTCTGAAGTCCTTACCACTAGCTGCTCTTGCAGTAATAAGTAGTGCACCTTTCTTACTGTCCCAATGTGCACAATGTGACTGCTTTTTTGTCTTTTGTTTTCTTATGTTCTCTGTATTTTATATGTTTGTGTTATGTGTAACGTTGCTGCCTTGGCCAGATCAGCATTGAAAATGAGATTGTATCTCAATGCTTATATCTGGTTAAATAAAGGTTGAATAAAAAATAAAACAAACCCTCCGTTTCCTGTCTCTGAAAACACCTCTCATCCCTCAAGAGTTGTCCCCTCAGTGTGTACAAGTCTATTTCCTCCCACTGACATTTCCTCACTTTGGCAGCCACATTGTACCTTTTTGCTCTCACTGCCAATTTTAGCACATGCTCACATCCCCACACACTATGGTGGTACGTGAACATGTGAAAATAAGACTAGAACACACACACACACACACACACACACACACACACACACACACACACACACAACTCCCCTGCTGCTGCTCACAGATGACAGGAGGACTCAGGATGGAGGAACATAGCGCTGTGAAAGGAGAGGGCAAAAATGCAGGCTTGTTAGACAGCGTCCAGATGTGCCATGTGTGTTCGGAAAGCGCGGGCCAGAAGGTATCACAGAAAGAAATGTGCTCATGCATTATTAATCGGATCACTATAGGAATTGTCAAGCATGCATGTAGTGACATAAGGGAATGTTCTTTTGCTCCTCTGAGTTCGCCACTGTTTGTTGGGTCAAATACTTTCTTCAGGAACACGTTTGGGCCTATCTTATGCAACAGTCTCTATATGTTCCACCTCTGAAGCACACACACTCTCACACTGACCACCGTCTTGGCCTAGTTTTCCCTGGATGTTCTAGCTCCAGGGCAAATGTGTTTCTCCCCAGTGAGTAACGGATATTTTAATGGACAGAGAATGAAGGCTTCGATAGTTAAGGTAACATCTGGCCTTAAAGAATTTTTTTTTAAAAAGTCTGCTGAATGCAGAAGACAGGAAGTCAATACTGTAATGCCATCTGCTCTAGGGCGGTCGTTTAATGCTCATAGGGAGATATTCTAACATAATGATTACTGTATCCTCCAAAGGTGTTCTCACTGCCATATTGTGTTGTTCAGTGGCCATACATGTCAAATAATGACCCTCCACGTACCACTGTAGTGCAACACACTGTTTATTTCTGTGGAACAGTGAGTCAATGTTTAATAATACTTAACCATGATGTTTCCTCAACCCAACCAAGTACTTGTGTTCCCTAAACATAACCAAGTAGTAACATGTAGTTCTGAGCTTGCACCATCTATGTAAAACACTTCACTTTCTCAAATAATTAACTAAAAAAGTAAACGCAGTGTTGAGGTCTCCCAGACAACCCTGCTCATTGAAAGATATGGGATTTTTCTCCTGCCTCTTTGTTTTTCTGCCATTTTCTCCTAGCTTAAGAAACTCTCAAGCCTCTCAATGGTCCTCCTCCCTGCTGCTTATAGTTTTTCACCAAGAGCTCTTTAAATAACTTTTTGAATAATGTTCAACGATACAAGGATCTAATAAGTTGGATGTTTATAATGTGGAACACCAATTAAAAAGTACATATAGACTGACGTGATGGATTAAAAAGGAAAAGCTTCAACGTTTTCACAATATTTCAATTTACTTTTCCATTGCTTCAATATCAAAAGCAATGCAAATAAAAAAGAGAGAAAAGACAAATCCAAGAGATGTTTTAAGTGTGTTATGTAGAACACCAAAATAATATGACCTTAGAAAATAAGAAACTAAGATAGATAGGACAGAAAAGGATTTTATTCATAGGAAAACCTGCCTGTCGTGAAGCATATTAGGGCAGCAGCCTATACACCAACACGGAAACACATGAGCACTAAAAAAGCAGAAATAGAATCTGAGCTGACAGAAAATGCTCGGTTTTAGTTTAATACACACAGTTAAACTCACACACACTATTTTATGAACACACATACATACTGAATACAGAAAGTGAAAACCATAAAGCAGATTCAGGCAGTAGGCGTCCTTTTACAACAAACACTATAAACTCCTTTTATATTTTTTGTAATATTAAAATCCTGCTTGTAATCCCCACATTTTAGAGAAATAACAGGAATCTGATGATGTCTCCTTAACTGTAAGGGAATACAGTTATAGATGTTCTGCATCTTGATTTTGTAATCCCGGTTCATGTAATCCGTTATTACCGAAGCCTAATAGAGTCACTCAAAGTGTAGTCAAAGTATTGCAGTATTAGCATCATTGCACCTTACAACCAGTGGTGGACTATAATAAAGTCCATTTACTCGAGTACTGAACTGAAGTACAATGTTGAGGTACTTGCACTTTTCCTGAGTATTTCAAATGTACTTTATACTTCTACTTTATTACCTTTTGGAACCATACTTTTTACTCCAATACATTTATCTCACAGTGTTACAAATTACTTTATAGATTTATATTATGAGATCATATAGAATATAAATCAATCTATAAACAAACGTTCACATATAGTTAGAGGCAAAGACATGGATGCTGTTAGACATCCAGTAACAGCATGAAAACTATGCGATATTAATACATAAATAATCATAATCCAGTCGTTTAATTTACAGTATTCTTAAATAAGCCATAACGCAATTCAAGTACTTTTGGTACTTGCCAATGCTTTTGTAGTTTTTCTTGGATTTTGATAGAGTATTTTTTCAATGTAGTACTTCTTCCACCACTGCTAATAACAAAACAAAAACTAACAAGACTTGAAGATTCAAAAGATCTTCCTACATATGGCTCCATGATTTGTAATGCCACCTCTTCTTAGGAAACACTTATTGATCATCCAAACGTGAGGGAATATTCGCTGATGTCATTTCAAATTGAAGGTGAACAGGCACGGGCACGCACTTTTTAATACAGATTCCCCCTGTACTCCTGGTGCTGTTCCCGCGTATACGAGAACGCGCTCCATCGCTGTCATCAGTACAACATCAGCATCTTCCGGGGGGTGCGCGCAGAGAAACGAGAGGAGGAGGACGGAGAAAGAGAGAGAGGGGGAGAGAGGGAGAGGAGACATACTGGATAAAGGCTACGACAAAAACATGATGATAATGGAGTCGAGGCGGTGGAGGATGTCGGATTTACGAGAAAGGACTGTTGAGATTTGACAGAGGGCTCGTGTTGAAACCTGTTTTATTTCTTTTTTTTCATTTTTCGAGTGGACACTGAAGCCTACCGGAGGGGAAAAGGGGGAGCCCCCCCCACGGATGCCTCGGGAGGTAAAAACGGGCTCCACCGCTGGCGCTAGAACGGCACCGAGACGCACCCCTCTCACGTATCGGTAATAAAAGGACATCCCGAAGGAAGCTCCGCATTGATGGATGAGGATGAAACCCAGCTTTAACCCACCTCCACTGTGAAATTACAGGGGGAAAAATCTTGTTTATATGGATTTTTTTCAATCTTCATGGTGTAACCCCCAAAAAGCGAGCCTTAGACAGCAATGTTGAATCACTGGTCTTGGTAAATTATTCATTATAGTGGTGTAGGTATGGCTATGATTTTTTTCTACTGCTCCAATGTAGCATTTCCCCCTCATTCAGTTTTACCATGTTCAGCCTTGTGATATCACACACACATTTGCAGGTTACATTTTTCTACCGTGTGGTTATGTAGGCCCACTTAATAGCCTTTAACAATAGCCAAAGTGGGGGAAATTTAAGCACATTTGATATAGAGTTGTTTTCTTCTACGAGGGGGTGGAAAAAGAGATATAAATCCCAAACATGTTGCCTTCCCAAGAAGCCTCCAAGATCTACCATGACAATTACATGCGCAACTCCCGGGCCATCGGGGTGCTGTGGGCCATCTTCACCATCTGCTTCGCCATCGTCAACGTGGTGGTGTTCATCCAGCCCTACTGGATCGGAGACAGCGTCAACACGCCGCAGGCCGGCTACTTCGGTCTCTTCCACTACTGCGTGGGCACCGGGCCGTCGCCCAACCGGGAGTTCACCTGCGTGGGCAGCTTCTCCGACTTCAGCTCCATCCCGTCCGGAGCCTTCAAGGCGGCCTCGGTGTTCGTGCTGCTATCCATGGTGCTGACCCTCAGCTGCATCGCCTGCATGATGCTCTTCTTCTTCTGCAACACCTGCACTGTTTACAAGACCTGCGCCTGGATGCAGCTGCTGTGCGGTAGGTGATCCTGGCATTGTTATCTCTTCGAGAAAATGCTTTATTTCGTGTTTTTCAGGCAAATCAATGCAAAAAAACATCAGAAACTCGATGAAACACAGTGTTTAAAGTGCACAAAAACAAACATTGCAGGCAGCCAGGAGTATTGATGTTGCTTTACATCGCCATTTAGGTAATAGGATATTTCGCATGCATTGTTAAACAGAATCATAATTCCTTTATTCGTCCAACAGAGGGAGAGTTTACATTTTAACAGCAAAGTTTACATTTTTTTTCTTTCCCGTCTCTATTTTAATATTTAAAATATTACAATTTACAGAAGTACACATTCAAGTAAGATTGTAACATTTAGTAAAATGGAAGCAAGTGTGGTAGCAGGTAGGTTACTGTAGTAAAATGATATGCTGCATGGATACAGATTAAAGTGTTTCGGAAAAGGATGGACTAACTAAGAAGTAGCGTCCAGTACTAGTAATAATATTGGCCGGGAACAGACTACACATAAGTGTTGTTGCACACAATGGTGTATAGTCTAATGCATTCTTTTATTTTAGACTTTTTAGTCAGTTAACCAATGCATCTTTACAGTCATCGCTGCAGCCTTTTGTTCTCCACATTAAACAGCAAAGGTATGTTGGATAGGACAATCACATGACCATATGACATTCCTACGTGAAGGCTAGAGTAGTGACATCACGAAACATCGTTACAGACTCCTGAGGTCAGTATGCTTAGGACCAGCACGTTCTTACAGGACTGGTGATTGTAGCAATATGAAGCAACGTGTTTGTGCAGCAGATCCATTGTCTGAAATCAACACGCTGCAGTCCAAAGGGTAAAGGCCATGCACTGTTGCAGTTTTATTTTCTGCAACATTCTAAAATCCAATGGAAATATCCCATTGAAGGGAGCCCTTGCGATGCCAACTTCCGAATCGGTCTAAAAAAACATCATTACTGCACCAATATTCAGTTTACTACCACAGGTGCTGAAGAAAAGCAGCGATTGACATTCAAAATTGTATCAGTTTTGCAATTTTGCTTCATAAAATCAACTAAAATATGAATCATAAAATGACATTAATCAACAAATTATTTCCGGATATACAGTCAATTGCCCATATGATCTCTGAATAGCTCACACAGGAACATCAGGAATTGTGTTGTAATCCAAGGCGATTAGATGTCACAAGGCCAAGTGGGTAACGTGACCACGTCAGCGAGACCTGCGAGTAGCATGAGCGTATCTTTCAAAAGGAGCAAAGAAATCACAATTCTTTCTCGTAGGCACATTTCTAGGGAGCCTCCTGTGTACATCCGACTTCTTTATAAACTGATCAATGTGATAAATAGGCCAGGCAGAATAGCGTGGGAGTGAGTTTTCTGTACAGAAACAGTCAGCATGAGAGGGAGGGAGAAAAAGAAGGGGGAGACAGAGATAGAGAGAGATCAGCACCTTTTTTCCTCCTGTATTGTTATTTTCCTCATCCTCATCTGCCCACTCTGTGCTCCGTTCTGCCGAGTGTATTCAAAAGGTGCTCTGAGATCAGCAATAAACAGACAGAAAAGCAGACGTAAGAAATGTACTCTCTCTATCTAAATCTTCATGAATTAATGGGACCCAGGTCCTTCCACAAGTTATTAATCAAGCAGGACATAAATGAAATGCAGTGGGGAAAAGTCATTCTCAGTCTAATTAAAAACTTCACCACAATTAACTACAATCTTGCATTGAAAATCCTACTTAAATGTATAATTTCAATTTGTTTTGTATTAAAATGCCTTTAACCCTCCGGTTGTCTTCGGGTCAAATCTGACCGATTTAATACTTTCATCAATCGTAACTTTTTTGTTTTAGATTCGATTGCATTAAGGCTTTATCATATCCTTCACAGTAGACATTTGAACATATCAAATAGCTGATCACCACTTTCATTGCATTTTGGATGATTTAGTCAACTTTGTAACACCCATGGTGTTCCCGGTGAAAAATGACCGCCATAAAGAAAATAAATTAGTAACCATCCGGATCAGATAAAACACACACACACACACACACACACACACACACACACACACACACACACACACACACACACACACACACACACACACACACACACACACACACACATACTCTAGATTGTGTGTCCCCCCCCTTATGTGCCCAATCCCCCCCATGTGAATCACACCTGGAACACGCAATACATGTTCAGTGTCTATTCTTTGTATATTTACTGCAGTGTTTCATGTATAGTCCGATACAATATTTATGTACAGTTTGAAAGGGTGTTAGATGAAGTTTGGTGATGATTAATGGTTTTTGTGTTAATGTAATAGCAGTTAAAACAGGACCGGTCAAATGTGACCCCGAACACCAAAGTAAGGGGGGGAAACGAAGACAATAGGAGGGTTAAAGGACTATAGGTTTAAATGTAACGTTTCCATATCTAATGCTGGAAAACGACCAGGTATAATAGGTATAGTAGGTTTTCTGTATTAAAATGCCTTAAATGGAAAATCAAGTTATCATTTGTAAATATGTTTGTATTAAAATGCCTTAAAAGGACAGGACCAATGTATAATTTGTAACTTTTTCGTATTAATAGGCCTCAAAACAACAAGACTAAGGTATAATTCGTTGTTTGTCTTATTAAAATGCCTTAAAACAACTAGACCAAGGTATAATGTGAAACGTTTTGCATTAAAGTACCTTAAAAAATTACTAGATCAACATATCATTTGCATATTTTCTTATTAAAAAGCCTTAAAACAACAAGATCAAGGATTAATTTGTAACTTCTTCAAATAAAATTGCATTCAAACAAGAGAGACTTAGGCTATATATTTTGTTTAGTTGTGTACTTACATTTTCCAACATGAAAATGTTAGGACTTACAGTAGGACTTTACTCACTTGCTCTTTACTCAGTGCAGAGTCCTCTGACACCAATGAATGTGAGAATGAAAATGTGTGTGAGGATGATTGATATGCAGCAAACGTGATGAGAATGTTGTATTGATCCATAAAATCAATGTAAATGTGATGACTCTGTTGAATCACAATAGCCTGTTTATGGCTATCAATACCCCCACCCTCCTTCACTTATCACCATCTGGCTGAAATGGTCCACATCTGCAGGAAGGCGATACATGACAGATTTATTTTTGAATGGTCACATACAAGCTTTTTATTGTGAAAAATCTTTGTTGATTACATTTTATGACATGCCAGGGTCAGCAATTTCTCTATAAGTTATAAAAACATCAAACATCTAGCCATTATATCACTTCATCTTGTTCAAAGTATAGATTTATTAGGCTGCGTTCAACTTCTACTGAGTAGAAGATATTTACAATACCAAATTTAAAAGTATACTTTAAAGAGGACATACAGTAGTACATGTATAATGCTCATTTGACGTTCATATTACAGTAGTATTAGTGTCTCTACTGGGACATGTCTCCATGCTTTAATGTTCAAAAACCTCTTTATTTTTCTCATACTGCCTGTGCTGCAGCACCTCTTTTCACCATCTGTCTGAAACCAGAGCTCAGTCTGCTCTGATTGGTTAGCTGGCAAGCTCTGTTGTGATTGGTCAATCGCTTTGAGAGGTGTCTGGAATGTCCCCGCCCTTAGCATATCACGTACATTGGGGAGCAGTGCTTGCCAATAGAAGCACACATGTTACATAGTGATGTCATTATGTCACAGGTGTAAGCGAAAGAGTCCCATGAAGGCGTTTAAGGCAGGGAGGGAGTGTTTGGAGAGAAACAAAGGGATATTAGCCTTTTCAGACCATTTCAATACAAAAACCTATAGACAGGAAAGGGAAAACCCCAAAAAGGATAATAAGATCTCTTTAAGAAAATCAACAGCATTTGTTCTTGATTTTAGAATATGTGTATTCCCAATGCTCAAGGCCAACCGTGAACAATTACACACATTTGTATACTCACACCTAAATGTATATCACCGTTGCCACTATTTTGCGGTCACATATTATTACTTATTACGTCCCGGCTCGTGGAAAGTAACATATAACCAGTTTAAATTGGTAAAGTGGAAGTTCTTTAATGACTGAGCTCAATAAAATTGGCAACAAACAGCCACAATCAAAACGAAAGGCCACAAAGGCACCAGTTTAAACAAACAACAAAAGGAACTAAGGGAGACTCTTTATATAAGAGTGTTAACAAGTTAGTATAAACAAAATAACTAACAACAAAATAAACTAAAGAAAACCTCACTTCTAAAGTGGGATAAAAAGAATAAGTCTAACAAAAATAGGCAGTCACCAAAACACAGCCTGGGTACAGATTAACCACAGTTAAAGTTGTATTACGAGATAAACAGAGTTACAAGAATAAGCACAAATATACACACAACCTAGTTAACCACTGTTAACAGAACTAGCACAGAATGTACGGAGAGAGTACCGCGAGACGTCTGCCACAGATTCAGACCTCTGTCGACTAACTGAGGTGCACACATTCTTGTAGTTTTCCCCGGAAGGTGTGTGCGGGGATTGGAGAGTCGGGCCCGGCATGCTCCAATCCAGATCTTCGGTCACGCCTACCAGGGGAGGGACAGGAATGGCGAATTCCAATGGCCAATGGCGTCTGTGCAATGGCACAGCTCATATATACATATAACACACAGCTGCAAACACTTACATAAAGGTTAATGGGCAGAGAGGAGGCGGCGGCCGTAACACACGTCAAAGTTGTTAAAACTTCACAAGGTTTTACTGTCCTTCCTGTGGATGTGCATGATGTGTGGCAGAGGTACGTTGTCTAATGGGTTTGGCACCAAGCCTAATGCTGCTCACCACCTTGGAGATGATAGTTAAATCATCCACTCTGCCCTGCTGGGCGTAGCAGCAGGCCTCTTGGCTCTGTGAAGTGATGGAGTGCACTGCACAAAATACAGTAAGGGCCAAATGTAACTGCTGGTGGTCTAAATCAAAGCCAAATTTAGGGAGCAGTCTGTGCCCAGGTCATGATTAA